ACTAAAAACCTGTTGCTAACTTCAGCCCGTGACTAAAGAGCCTTAAAGCCACAACTTGTCAATGTGTATTTAAAAGGTCACTTAGTGTCATGAAAACATGTACGATAAAGGGCGTTTTAAAGGTGGTAGTAGAAAAAATTCTTTATTTCCAAAAAATATTTTTTATCTTCATGAAAATTATTTTGCCTACTACCTTACTGGTATGCCTGTTTTCCTCCCTCTATTTTTTTTAACAATTTTACAACAAGAGTTTTGTACCTGGTCTAGCCATATTTGATTTTGTAGGAAAAAGATAAATCGGAGTAAACCCCTCGCTTGTCCAACCATTCTTTGAACAAACTATATCCTTTTTGAGGAAGGAGATTAATTGCAACTATTCTTGCCTCTTCAGAAAGATCTTGCAGGCAGGTCTTCTTTGCTAGAACTCATTTTCTAAACGTAGGAAGAATTTCAAATTTTTGATAAACAACCATAGATTATAAACAACTGTAATGTTTGTATTACCAAAAATGCCATAGCAACAAAGCGTTGTCAACATAACGTCGGCGACGCAAAACCTACTTTATCTTTTGTCATAATATTATAGCCCCATGATTTTTTTCACTACCGGTAGATTCCAATGGTAGACTTTGGCAGGTTTGCCGTTACTCTTAAAACCAACCGGTACGTTGTTGGTATACCATATAAAAGGAATCGGAAAGCTTAAAATGTCTTTAAAACCGTTAAAAGGTAATAGAAAAAACTATATACATACCTTGAATATTTATCAAACTATTCACGGAAAATTAAAAGCACTATTTTCTTCCCATGGTATGTAAATAGCTATTGAAAACAGTGGCCTAGCGACAGTTTCGCGAACGCCCGCCACCGCGGGGGCCCTAACCTCGTGGGGACCCGGCCGATACTTGCCCCAAAACAATAAAAAACTTATTTCCATCGTATTATCTGCAAAACAAAAAACGTGACGAGACGCTTAAAAAAATATGGCAACACTGTAAGATTCTTTTTATGTTATAAAAATGTTATTATTTTTCTATTATTTATATTATTATTTATTTTATTATTATTATTTTATAGTAGTAGTACGACAAAATTTAAATTTTTTTCTGTCCCATACAAAAATTCTACAGATTTTAAAAATAGACTTAAAAAAATGATACCCGTGTCTCGGCGTTTTATCAGATCACGGCTTCAATAACAGCTAAATGTATAGTTTTTTAAATTTTTATTAATGAATAAATGGACAACCATTAAAGGTACATTTACGAAATATATCAAGTGGTGTTTTTTAGGTTGTGATACCACTATAGATTTTGAAGCGATGTATAATCGTCAAACTAAAAGAGCAAGATTTTTTCCAATATATATTGAATATAAGATAAACACAAATATGTTGTTTTATTTAAATAAAATCAAAATTTAAAAATAGAATTTTTTTTATTTTAAAAATTTCTTTTTTTAATTATAATTTTTGTACTATTTAAAACATAAAATATTTGAAAAAAATAATTTATAACAAAATAGAAAATTAAATATCTGTATAATATACATACTCGTATTATGTTAAAATAATAAGAATGGCTGTATAAAAAATTTTAATGACGTGATTTCGAAAAACGGGAAGACGTTTTGTTAACCTAAATTTTCGAAATCTGTTAAAATCTTTCATGGGAGGGAAATCTCGTTGAACTGTGTTATAGGTAGATGTGGAGAACCTTATTTAAAAAAAAATATTCTTTCGCTTTTTGTAAAAAAGTTGTTATTGTTATTTTTCGTTATAAATATTTTTTTAATAAATAAAAATATCATGTCACCTGATGTTTTATTTTCAATATAAAAACATGTGAAATCAGGGGGCCCAGTAAAGATTTTCGCGGGGGGGGGGGCAAAATTTGTCGCTACGCCAGTGATTGAAAATGCTTTTAATAGATACATTAACCAATTAAATGTTTTAAAAATTGCTCCCCGTTGGTTTCTTGATAGTAAGCAAGCCTATACGAAAATTGTCTGAGACGTTTTGGATGACTTCCGCACCAATAAATTTATTGAATGTCGCTTAAGCGACATTCTCCACGAATTTGATTTTTCAAGTCTTCTAAATTTGTGGTCTGTTGATGTAGATTTTTGATTTAAGGTAGCCCCATAAGAAATAATCGAGAAGGGTGAGATCTGCAGATCTCGCTGGCCTCTCTCGTATGACAATCCACCTCAGAAAAACATGTATTTAAAAAAGTAGGGACAGGACGCGAATAGTGCGGAGGTGCCCCGTCCTGTTAAAACCTAATGAGTTTTGCAAAAATTCTCGTCAAAGAAGAAGTTACCTATGATCCGATTTTCCACCATTTCTGTCCAGACATTAACTCTTTGCCGGTATTGGGAATTTGCCTCTACTACCCAATGAGCATTTTTTCTGCTCCAGTACATACTATTTTAACGGTTGACTGTGCCATTCAAACAGAAGGTAGCTTTGCCCGAAAAAAGTAATTTACGAGGAAAGTGTAAATTATTGTTACATAAATTCATCATAGTTTTACTCAATGGTTTTACAATATTGTATTCTACGGTCCGCATCATCTTCGTTAAGTTCCTGCCCCAACTCGTGTTATTCACGTCACATTTTGGTTGTTATTTAACGAGTTTTAAAGTAACGGAATATTGACGTGAAATAAACGTTTTTAGAAAACGAATGTTTTAAGAAAAATGAAAAATATTACATAAACATAAAAAAACAGTTCTTTCAGTCGAAATCAAGAAGTTACTTACAACAGGAATTCTGAGAAGTTTTAAAAATACCTTTCATACACGTAAAATTTAGACGTAATATGTACCTAAGTACCCAGCAAACAGAAAATGACGAACGACGTTTAAGACGTAAAAATAAACGTCAAAATAAAACTTAAAAATGACGTATATTTTTCGCCATTATCTGACCACTTATTTCATACCAGAACCAGACAAATATGCGACGTCATCAAAATGTTTCAAAATTCGCCAATATGTAGGCAACCCATGCATACCTCTCGCCTCTGTAGCACAATAGATAGTCCTATAAAGGTGGAATGCCTTAAGCTGCACATAAAAGTCGGAAGCCTCTAGCCGAGAAAAAGGCAGCAAAGAAAATAAGGACAACAAAAAACAAACGACATGCGTAAAAATAAAAGAAATGTGGAGCAGAAATGGAACCACAAAAGGAACAATCCCCCAAAAGTCAAATCCGGTACACACCGCAGTAAGTAAATAACAAAAAATGAAATGGCAAATAAATTTGATTTGATTTGACTGCAGCTAAGTAAGAATTTCTTACTAAGGCAAAATTACTGACCATACCGCTTCTGCTTGTAAGTTTTGAAGGGACACAGCCAGGGACCCGAACCGAAACCGAAAAAAAACCGAAAACCGGAACGGAACCGGTTTTTTTTTCGAACCGAAACCCGAACCGGAACCGTTTTCGCTTTTGATAAAATCTGTTGGACCGGAACCGAAACCTTTATTTGCTTTCATTCTAATAACATTATATAACATATTAGGTTATAGATTAAAATTACGTAAAACAAATAACCTCACTGGAACCGCTTAAAACCGAAAATAACCGAACCGTTATAACTCCACGAAACCGAAACCGGAATCGGAACCATTAAATAAAAATAGGGTGAACCAAAACCGTACCGGAACCGATATTTCATTTCGGTCCGGGTCCCTGGACACAGCTGGTCCTGTGGCCCACTCTGCGAAAAGTAAGCTGTAGCTATTTTGATTATTATATGTTGTAAAATCTTTAATTACATAAATATAACTAATTAATACAACCCATCAAAAAATATTTTATTTATGTTAATTACATACATGATTTTACATGTATGCTCAGGATCATACAAATATAGCACAATATATTTAACCCGTTCTTGGACAGTGTCCTGACATAATTAAAAAGCAGATTTATTAAACATAAAGATTTGTTGTCATCATTCGCTCTGCAAATTTCTAAATTTTTTCCATTGACTACATTATATATATCACCAAGATCTGGGGTGCAATAATCATGCAGTTTTGAGAGCAGATCTTATTATGGTGGGAATATCTGCAAAAAGTTGATGAGTATCCATCAAACACAATTCAATTTTTAAAAATTTGGGTATATACCCAAACATATCAGAACTTCTGAAAATATTCTGCACACTTCCGGTAAGCACTGCAACAGCTGAGAGAAGCTTTTCTGCACTAAAATTGCTTAAGACTTATCTTAGGAATACTTAGGATGAATGGACTGGCTCTTTTATATGTTCATCCTAATATTATAACAATTTCTGTGGAAGAGGTCTTAAATGAACTCCAAAAAAAAAAGGATTGACATTATTTTGAAATTTTTTCAATATTTATTTTTATTTAGTTTAAGACTAGTGCAAAAGTGGCAAATATTTTATACCAAATAATTTTGCATAAAACCAAAAATGTTAACTTTGTGCTGTGTTAGGAGTTTATTTGTTTTATTTTTTTTTGCAATACATAATGTAAAAATAAAAAATAATATGTCGTATTAGTTAACTTACCAGGCTTTGCCCCCCCCCAGGACACAATCCTGCGTACGCGCCTGGGCTAGAAGAACTGTGAGGAACTTCTTCCACACGTAACAAAATGTTTTTAGTGTCTTCACTAATAAGGCAAGGTTTTGGAATATCTTTGATATGTCCAGTCTCTGAATTTTCGTTCAATTTTACTAACCGTAGCACGAGCTATATAGATATAGGTCGAGCTGGATACTTTGCATTAAATAAATATCAACTTATTCTTGTGTTCTAGTTTTATTGCCACATCCTATGAGAATTTAAATTCTGTGTTTCCGTTAAATGACAAGAATTCCCCATGATTTAACGGCTCAATAAACAGCTAGTGCACACATGTGTGGTATTAAATAAAACATGGACATACTGACGTATATTACTTTAATTATAAAAACAATTACAGTTAAATCTTAAATATAATAATATAAAATAATATTAAAAGCTTAATAGTTTCAGTCTAAAATCAATAAAAAACTGTGTTGTATTGCACGAGTCTTTGTAAAGTTCGCGGGTTGTTCTACGGCAGCAGTCGATGGTAATGCGCTTTTTTGCTTTTCTCAATGACGTAAAAGGAGTGGGGTTTTCCGTTTCCGGCGAAGTACTTCATTACGTTAGACTTTTTCGGTTTAACCGGTATGTAGTATGAGGGTTTGATCGGTTTTCTTTCCGGTTCGTTCTTTTCCAGCACTTCGTTCCAGTTGTCGAGGTTATGGTAGTCGAGACTGTTCGAATTCTCGTATCTCTTCTTGTGCTTCACCGATGTGATTTTTTTCACCACCGGTAGATTCCAATGGTAGACTTTGGCAGGTTTGCCGTTACTCTTAAAACCAACCGGTACGTTTTTGCTGTGCATTTGCTCGACGGCATTGGGCATGTTGTGGGCGTAGTAGTGTGGATTTGGAGGTAGTTTTATTATGAACATGTGGGAGTCATCCGAACGACTGTGATGCCTTGATTCGACAGCCAATCTTTTTCTATGGTGACTATTGGGACCCCTGACTCTTTTAAGTCCTAAACTCTTCATCAACTCGTGGTTTTTTGTCGGGGATGATGAAGATTTTCCTTCTGTTATGGATATGCAGATCATCAACAAGACGAGAGTGATGAGGAGGTGCCTGAAATAATAAAAAAAATTAAAAGATTAGGAAATAAACCAGTTAAGATATTAAATATTAATGAAGCATGTCGAAAAATAAAATGTAGATAAACATCAAAAAGTAACTGTTGTTTATATACATTGTATTATATTAAAAATTGGTTTATTGAGTGGGTATCCAGTTTAAACAAGCTAGAATATAATGCTACCGTTATTAACTATATTTTATAAATAAAATGTAAAAGAATATGGCCTTCCATATAACCTCTGTGATCTTGTAAATTGTTTTATGTAATATGTATGTTTCCTATATATATATTTGTAATTTGTAATGGTTATTTACCGTAAATAAATATTATTATTATTATTATAGAAGATGAATCCCTTAAAACGATCGTTTCAAACCAAAAAAAAACTAAAAAATAAATTGAAGAAAAAACTAAAATAGAAACTGAAGGAGAAACTGGAAAACTGATAAAGAAACCCAACAAGAAACTAAGGAAAAAAGTAAAGAAAAATTTAAAAAAGAAACTGATTAAGAAACTAAAAACAATCTGAAGAAAAAACTAAAGAAGGAAATAAAGAAGAAACTGAAGAAAAAACTAAAGAAAAAACTGGAGAAAAACTAAAGAAGAAACTGAAGAAAAAACTAAATAATAAACTGAATAAGAAGAAATTGAAAAACTGACGAAGAAACCAAACAAGAAAGTAAGGAAAAAACTAGAGGAGGAAATGTAAGAGAAACTGAAAAAAAACTAAAAAATCAAACTGAAGAAAAAACTGTAGAAAAACTAAAGAAGAGTCTAAAGAAACTGAATAAAAAATTAAAAAAACTTAAAAATAAAATAAATAATAATGAATAAATTGAAGAAAAAACTGAAAAACTGAAGAAGAAACCCAACAAGAAACTAAGAAAAAAATTAAAGAAGAAAGTAAAGAAATTGAAGAAGAAACTGAAGAAGAATTTAAAAAAAAACTGAAGAAATAACTAAAGAAGGAAATGAATAAGAAACTGAAGAAAAAACTAAAAAAAACTGTAGAAAAAATGAAAAAGAAACAAAATAATAAAGTGAAAAAAAACTAAAAAATAAAATAAATATTAATAATAAATAAATTAAAAAAAAAACTAAAGAATAAACTGAAAAACTGATGAAGAAACCCAACAAGAAACTAAGGAAAAAAGTAAAGAAGAATTTAAAGACAAATTTGGAAAATACACTAAATATGAAAATAAGAAAAATCTGAAGAAAAAACTGAAGAAAAAACTAAAAAATCTAAAGAAGAAACTGTGGAAAAACTCAAGAAGAACCTGAATAAAAATCTTGATAAAAAAACTAAAAAATAAAATGTATAATATATAATATTAATAAATAAATTTAAGAAAAAACCAAAGAAGAAACTAAAGAAATTGAAGAAACCAAAGAAACTAAAGAAGAAACTCTACAAAAACTAAAGAATAAATTGAAAAATAAACTGAAGAAAAAACTGAATAAAAAACTGAATAAAAAACTGAAAAAAATTAGAAAATAAAATAAATCTCATAGACTACATGCGAGTATACCTAATATAAAATCAATTTATAGAAGATGAATCATTATAAATTTAAAATATTCCTTGTATTAGTCCCTTACAATGATAGTTCCCACAAACACGCTCTTTAATGGGACTTAGTATCTGTATTAAAGCACGGCATATTTATGACATGTTGATAAAAATCAATGAGCATATCGACATGAGTATTTGCCGCCTGCTTACACCAGTTGCTATGGATTATTTTCATTCGGAATTAATTTTATACTTTTTTTGTTTTTTTGCATTACATAAAAATCAATTTTAGGGTTTTCATTTTACGATCTAAAAATAAATCTAAGATCAATAAAATCATAATCAAATAAAATTTGGTTTTTTTGACATTAAAATTTAAAGTTACACTTGATTAAATTAATTCTAATGTATGTAGGTAATTGCTATCAATAAAAAGTCTAAGTTCCTAATGAAACAGAAAAAGCAGTTTGTAAAGGAAATGACGTTTATAGCAAATCGAAGATGTTAGTGGTGTGTAAGTAAAGGATCCGTTGGAAAAGACATGTGTGTGGTTTTGGCCAAAACGGAAAACGTTCCAAATAAGCTTATAACATCGCATAACAGGACGCAAATTGAATTGCTTCAAAAACGGACATCTCAACTGCTAAGGCTCTCCCCACACAAGAACCTTACATTTCTAGGGTTTCCTAAAGATGTCTACCAAATTGTTCGTTATAAAAGTTTGACGTTCATTTTTCAAGTTTACGTTACTGTCACTTCCGATTGAACCGGCGCATTGAAAATATTTATAAAAATAGATCACATGGAATTGTATAGTTCGTTGTATTCCTAACTTTAATGAATCGTACCGACATCTCAAACAGGTTTGTGCACTTATACGAGTAACTGTTTTTGCCAAGTCCGCTCATATCAATATAGTAAGTAACACATTAACAAATCTGGCCACCAGTGGCGGCTCGTGGGTTTATAGGAGGGTGAGGCTACATGAGGTTAATTTTGTCTAAATAGGAATAAATTTCCACGTCACCCGGGAGGTATTATTCTGCGACGCGTTGACCATTCTTTTAAAATGGCCGATAGCCCTACCAAACCATTATAAATAAAAAAGACTAAAAAAACAACAAAACAAAGGAATCTTAACCCACCCCCTGAACTACAATTGTTTTTGACGCGGCCTAACAAAATACAATGCCAACCGAATAAGTTTTGTTTATAAATATTGATGCAATTTTTGGGGGTTGGACGACTGCCCAGTATCTGTCTTTTTTCAGTTTCGTTTCTATTTAAAAAAGGCGTTTCAATTATTAAAAGAATAATGTCATTCATTAAAAAAAAACAGAAATATTAACTAAAAAAATTAAAACCTAACCTTAATTAAAACTCAATACGACTTGTTTCTTAATAAAAACTGCTAATTCTACATATCGATGACTTCCTGCCAAAGTATCGCAAGCAACATAACTTAAATTTCGGGAATTGAAAACATTTTTTGTTTTAAAATCTGTTTTAAACCATATTTAACCTATAGGTTTCATAACAAGTAAATAGCTATAATTATAAGCTATTTACTTGTTATAAAACCTTTAGGTTATATTTAGTTTAAAACAGACTTTAAAACAAAACATGTTTTCAATTTCCGAAATTTCAGTTATGTTGCTCGCGATACTTTGGCAGAAAGCCATCGATATGTGCCCTAGTGTGTCCTTTATTTACCAAGTTGGCTGTTTAAATTGATAGTTTACAGCCTAAAAGCAATTTTTCGATGACGGTTAACCCTGCCTAAATGACTTTTCCCATTCAATTAACATGGAGTTTTTGCACTTTTTGGAAATTAATTTTTTTATTGTTTATTATATTAAATAATTTACCAAATATTGTTGATTCTGCTTCTATTATGATCCCTTTGAATACAAAAATTTTGATATTGGCGTCAAAAATTTATTCCGTAAATTTTAATAAGGTCAAATTTATTTTTACCGTTTTTCCAATAATCTTGTTTAATTAATATTTATTCTGTATTTAATGTTAAATTTTATTTTATACGCTTTTAGCATTACTTTATAAAGATTGTAAATCATTAGTTAATAATAGTTTATTTTAAATTACCCAACACTTAGTCAAATGTTTTAAATTACTAAGAACCGTATGCAGAAACGTTGATTTATTTATATCAACTGATTTAGCATATAATTTTCGTATATAATATCACAAGAGAACAAATTTTGCCGGCAAAATTTTCGACTGGTATGAAAGTTTGTTGCTTGGCAATTTTCGAGAATGAAATTTTGTCAAAATTTCATGAGCGAAAATTGCCAAAAAGCAACAAACTTGAATGAAACCAGAAGAAAATTTTGCCGGTAAAAATTTTCTCTCGAGTGATATTCGACAAGACTATTTCACGAGAAAAAACAAGACAATTAATGCACCATATTAACGAAACATGTAATCTTAATTTATTTGTTAATATTAAATGTACAATTATTATATGTTATGGTAGTTTGCCCATTCTTTTCTACCAAAGCACGATTTTGTGTATTATTGACCTGTAGCATGTGGGAACTCGAAGGTCCAGCTTCATTTGAGATTTTCGATCAACTTCTGGTGGTGACTAGAATCCAGCTGCAGGTATGGTTTTAGGGAGCTTGCATTTGAGTGACCCGTTAATTTAATTAACTCCTGTTCAGCAACACCTGACACAGCTGACGCGAATGGTTTGTTATTTTATGTTTTTTTGTGTCTATTCCAATTTTTTCAGCTGACATCTTTGTCCACTTAGATACGATGTTGATTCCAAGTGGACAGTTTTTGAACCAAGATCCATTCTTTCAGTTGGGGTGAACGGTAAGAAAAAGTCTGTCTGATAAAATATTTGGTCCTCTTTTTTCCATTAATTTCAAGAATAATCTAACTGGGCATAAATCTTCGTTTGATAAATTTCTTACCAACCATTTGCTGCTTGCCAAACTTTTCGACCCGCCTTGAGTTGTTTTCGAAAAAATGCTGCCGTAAATTCTCCCATATTATTAAATTCCTTCTGGAGTTTACGGCCTCATTGCCTCTCCAAGCAAGTTCATATGAGCAGAGGTGAAAAAACTTTTTTTGTGCTCCATCGAGGGTTTCTTCGTCGTAGCTTTGGATCATTTTTAAAAGTTCTTCGGTGGATAATGCTTTTGAACTAAGTTTTCTTTTTTCTGGACAACTTTGAAGCTGCCTTCGCTTGGTATCTCTGGCCAATCTTGAACATTTGAAAGATATATCCGTGAAAGGATCGATTTTTATGCCGTATTCCGTAAAATATTTTTCTTGTACCATTTTTGCAGTTGAATTCCACATAGACTTTACAGACGACTCTTTATAGTCTTCGCCATTGCATTTTTTTTTCATATTAAAGGCTTCCAGAATTTTTGCTAGTTCCGTCGCGGTAGTAACATTTACATTTTTCCAGTGTAAAATTTCTCACCCGTAGGAATTTTG